AAATCTTCATTTAGATTTGAATTTTGTCTTTTTTTTAGCATCTTCTTTTTAATTTTTCTAAAAACTATCTTCTACTCGAGTTATATTCAAAGAGAGTAAGATGAAAAAAAAACATAAGAGCAATAGAGAAGGTAAGATACGCGGGTCCTATTTAATTAAAAAATTAAAAACATACATTCTAAAAAATTAAGTCGATTCATCCATACCATTTCATATGGTTTAATCACATTGATACACCTTTAAACAACTAATGAAACATTTTTCATTTTATGATTATTATAAAGCTATGATTTTTTATCATTTTATGGAAAAACACAAAAAAAATTTAAATTTAATTTTCCGGACCTTGGGTCTTTGAGGCCTACGGCTTGGCTTAGGCAACCTATGGCCCGACCTTGCTCCTAACACAAGCCTAGCCTTGCGCATGGGCATGCCCACCGGGCAATGCTCGGTGTTAGCTCGGCTTGCCTACCGTGGTTAGCCTAGCGTGCGCACTAGGCATTGCCTTTGTGCATGCATTGGCCAACACCTAGCATTGGTTTGGCGCACGCATAGGCCAATGCCCGGCGTTGGCCTCACGCAAGCACTAGGCTTGGCCCTTTGGCCAATGGTAAGCACCGGCTCGGCACGCCCGGCACGCGTGTGCTAGAGCGAGCCTATTGCTATAGCCCAACATTGGCATAACGCGTGCACTCGGCTAACGCCAAGCATTGGCCTCACTTGCGTATTCTTCGTAGTTCAAAAAACAAGTTCTTTTTCCCTTTATAAAACACCAAAATTACATATCCATAATATAATTAATCATAATTATCATAGTTAATCATAATTAACGAGTAATATAATTAAAGATTCAACATGAGCTCCGTTACCAATTAAAGAAAAAAAATCGTATAGAGGAGCAAAATAAACAATAAATTTTTTTCTCCATCTAAAGTCCCAATATTAGAGTTAAATTAACTAATTATATTGATAGATGTTTAGATCATAACCTCTTCAAGCACGAGTATCAAGGTAACGGATTGAGCCGTCCAAGTGTTCGGTCTCTAATAAAAATCTATGCGAGCTTAGACACCAACACAAAAAAGTGACGGAAGATCGAGCGTGCTAGCTCTAAATTCTTTTTATGATGAAGAATGCGCCTAGAATTCTTTTTTGTAAGGAAGATGGTGTAATTTTTTTCTATAAAGAAGATTGTGTGCCTCTCATTCTCTAGAGGAATTTAGACCAACTCTCTGTTTTATCGGTTGTATGGCTTGATGTATCTTTTTCTATTTATAAACCATGTATTAGGTTTAATGAACTTTTACCTAAAGTTTTCAAAAATGTCCCTCCACTTAAAATAACCCTTGTAGGCTTTCACTTAAGCTTGTTGGTCCCTAACACCTTTGGCCAAATGACTCGGTAATTAAATGAACTATACAAATAAGTTGGGTCAAGTATTTTAGAAAGGCTCAATTTAGGAAACTATTTTCTAAATTATCTCTATGGTTTAGGAAATCCAAATTAGGAAACCGTTTTTTAATATTTTAGGAAACTCGAATTAGGAAACTATTTTCTAGGAAATCCAATTTAGGAAACTTATTTCCAATTTAGGAAACTATTTTTAAATTACGAAACTATTTTCAAAATTATTTTAGTGCTTAAGAAATTAAAATCAATTATTTCAATTCCTATTTTTCTTTCATAATTCTTTGCTTTTCTTTATCCGAGTCAATGTCAAAGTTATGCATATGACTCAATAGGTTTCTAGATATCCCGGTAATGTATCGAGAAGTAGAAGATAGTTCTTTTATCTTTTGATACTTAATTCAAGATTGATCTCTAGCAAGACATCATGACTACCTAATCATCTAGAAGGATTACTTAATCCGTAACAATATTTCGGGAGCATGGTTTCATATAATTTAGTCTTCATGTCAATTTATTACGAGTCGATCTCAAACTTGGTTTGGTATCCATTCGATTATGATCACATAAGTTTCTTCGATCTCCAAATGTCTTAGCTCTCAAGTAAACCAATCATACTCTATTGGTAGACTTCTAATATGGTCACGGATTCTTGAGTCGACATTCATGCAATGTGATAACTCTTTTAGCATACAAGGAATGACATGACCTATTTCAATTATCCACATATCTCCCTTAAATTCTTAACATACCAAACGAATCATCCACATACAGACTCTTTATTAAGCCCATCAAAATGAATATCAAAATACACCAACCTTCTAAAGAGGTAACCGTGATAGCTTCAAATCAAATGACTACTTATACGCATCTCGTATGAGATTCCAATAAACTATACCAAATGAGTTCTTATAGCAAGTCATGTCCAAGTAATATGTTTTTTAACATTATTCACATGTGTGCTTGTTTTGGCATTATCATGCTAATAGGTGTGAGATCTCCTACTCGTTATCTTATATCAAGACTATAGCACACACAAGTCTATTGTCAAAGTCCAATTCTAATAATACTATGACTTGGGATATTTAATGATTTCACTTAAGAACATTGGTGTTTGTCTCACGTTTATTGATCAATCATCAAAACAATAAATATTATATAGCTTTCTATCTAATTTTATCAAGTTATAAATAACATGAATTAATTGAAAGACTTATTTATTAATAGATATGCGACAATACAATATTCAAATCATTCAAACAAGTTGAATCTTGAGTACTTAAACGAATAGATACATAAGTAAAAAGTTAATGGAATCTGTCAAGTAAGCAAAAAAAATTACAAGTTGGGCCACTAAGTCGTGGTTTCGTGCCAATTGTCATATATATCTTAAACAATTTTTTTGGTTTTATTAAGCTTTTCCTCCAATGAATTTGCAAATTACAACATCTTGATTTTAAACTGTTATCTTAATTAGTTGTATCTAGACTATTGGTCACTACGGATTTTTTTTTCTTTTTCTGCCTTATCATCAACCGATTAAAGTTGAAAACAACCCTTTTTTATGAAAAAGTCCTACTATTAATATTTATTAACTTTTCCATCAAAAAGTCCTACGGGGTTGTTGGTACGGTGGAATTAGAGATTCTTCCCACTAAGTAATTTTAGATGTGAAAAATATCACATTTGGTTTCTTGGTGAACGTCGAATTTCCGGAAATTTCGACATTGCTTGGGCATCAGACTCCTCACAGATCAAGAAATGTGATGCGATCGTAAAACGGCGGGAATCACATTCCCATGGATGGAGAATGTAAGAAATTTATTTTTTTGACTAAAATTGCCTCATCATTTACTACTAACATATCCTCAAGTATAAAGCATTTTTGTAAATTTTTAATAACAACAAAAGTATTTTAAAAGTGATAAAAAAATATTTTGTTGAGAAAGTACATGTTGTGTAATTTGTCGATAAACAAATTATTTTACTTGGCAGTTATTATTAATATAACATGTATTGCTGGTGGGCGTAATTACTTTTTATTTTAAAAAAACCTCATAGAGCCAAATTTACTATTTTATACCTAAATCACATATTTTTGGAGATAAAAGTAGTAAATTTATTTGAATTCATCGTGAATTCTCAAGTATAAAGCATACAAGACATATCATTAGGAATTTTCAATTTCAATCAAACACAAAAATTACAATTTCAGCAACCACATTATAACACGGCATTTAAAAATTTACACACCAAACATCCCTTTGGATAGTTTCTTTTCTTTAATTATTAATCGTTACAGAAGCCTCTTTACCCTATTTTATTTTTATTTTTATTTTTATTTTTATTTTTATCGGTTTTTTTGTTTTAATCTTATGTTAATCCTTCTACGTTTAATCTCATATTTTTGTAAATTTTTAAACTAACAGATGTTATGTTGTTGTTTTTTTTTTTTTCTGTCTTAATCTCATCATCTATTTTATTTTTCTGCCTTAATCTTTTTTTTTAAACCAAATTTAAATAAAAAAAATTAAAAAATTGAAAATTGAAAAAAAGGGTGAATATATGTATGATCATTCTCTCTAAAAATTAAAAAAATAAAAATAAAAATTTTATTTATCTAAAATATCTTTTATGAGTTTAAATTTATCTTTATGATAGCAAGCAAAATTTTAAGTATAAAATAAAATATTTATAATATTTTTTAAATATTAAAAGAGTTTTAGTTGATTTTTTAGGCTTTGAATGATATTTATAATTTTATAATATCTCAAAAGAGTGTATTAAAATAAATAAGATTTTATAAATTTCTTAATTTAAAAAAATATATAATCATATAAATTTTAGTCAAATTTTAAAATTCGTTAGTGTTAGGACCAACACTAACAAAAGTTTATATTTTCTTTTCTAGTCAAATTAAAAAGTTTATAAAATTATAATAAATAAATTATAATAGACTTGTTGAGCTATTACAAAATTATAAATACCATTCAAAATTTTAAAAATTTAACTAAAAATATTTTTATTTAAAAAATACTATAAATATTTATTTTATACTCAATATTCACTAATTATCACATAATTACATTAAAAAAATATTATAAATATTTTATTTTATATTTAAAATTTATTTATTACGATGGACATAAATTTAAACTCATAAAGAATATTTAAAAAAAAACAAATAATTTTAGAGTTACCTTTTTTAGGTTTTTTATTTTATTTTTAGAGAAAATGATAAAATATATTTTCATCTTTGTTCCATTTTTTTCCAAAATTTATTTATTTAAATTTGATAAAAAATAAAATTGAAAAAAATTGAGTAGAGGAATTAGACAACTATAGAAAAAAAATTTGATATCATTAGTTCAAAAATTAATAAAAAAACGAGATTAAGATAAAAATTAAATATAAAAGAATCAACTTAGGATGAAAAGAAGAAGAAGAAGAAGAAAAATACCTTAAAAATAAAGGAAAAGTAGAAGAACTTATGCAACCATTAGCGCCGGTGATTAACATTCTGCTATTGCCTCAAAACCTCCACCCAGTATTGAGTACCGAAGATTTACCTCTCTGCCAACAATCAGCTGACCATGAAACTCCGGTACGCTATGGTATGTTCATCGAATCAGAACAGAAGCATGGAGGCTCATTCTCTGCTTAAGAGGCACGGATTTGATGTCTCCTCTTATGGGACTGGAGCTCACGTTAAGCTGCCTGGACCTTCCCTAAGAGAACCAAACGTCTACGACTTTGGCACCCCTTATAAGCAAATGTTCGATGATCTCAGGCGCAAGGACCCTGAACTGTATCCTCCTTTCTCTCTCTTTACTCTCTTTCTAGCCACCCTGTGTTTGGTTGCTGAGAAAATTTCATTTTCTTTTCTTTTTTTGTTTTGGGTTGTTTAATTGGGGTTATGGTATTGTATTAATAAGTGCAAACTTGGGTTTTTGTTGTTTTGTTAAGTTATTTTAGAAATCACTTCAAAACACAGAAAAGGAATTTGGAAAAAAATAAAAAAAATAGAATGTGTGCATTTGATGATGGAAACTGGTGTGTGTTTATTGAAAAAGTGAAAGGAATTTGAATTTTGATGATGGGTTTTCAGTTTCTTTTTTTTTTTTTTTTTTTTTTGGTTGCTTTCTTAAAAGTGAAATAAAAAGTTTATGGTCTACGTTTGTGAATTAAAGCAAAAAAGTTGAAATCTTGACAAGAGTTTCAGTTACAAGCGAAATGGGATATTGCCGATGCTTAAAAGAAATTCAGGTGTGAAACTGGCACCTCAACGTTGGCAAGACAATGCTGCTGATGGTTCCTTTAATGTGGTGTTCACATTTGAAGAAAAGGTTTTCGATATGGTTCTTGAAGGTACAGATGTATCTTTCGTTTTGATTTTTTTTTGGATGTTCAGATAACAATGAATTTTGCAGTTACTCCGTTCATATGCTGGAGAATTATTCACTTTTAGCTATTGATGAGAAGAGCCTCTAGATTGGGATTCTCTGTTATTTATTTATGTAGTAACAGAAATCATAATGGTGAAGTGGTAGAGGTAAATTTAGAGATGTATCTTTTGTTTTGAATTTTTTGTTGCTTTGGATGTTTAGATAATAATGAGTTTTGCAGTTACCCTGTTCATATGCTTGGGAATTATTCACTTTTAGCTATTGATGAGAAGAGCCTGTTGATTGGGATTTCCTGTTATTTAGTTATGTAGGAACAGAAATCATAATGGTGAAGTGGTAGAGGTAAATTTAGAGAAAATAAAAAAAGTTGATGGATGCATTTGTGTTTGATTGACATCCTAAAGTGATATTCTTCGAGGTTTTTAGCTCATTCTTCTTACTTAAATGCTCTCAACTCTGGACAGAAAATCTATGCAGAATGGGATCAATAACGGTGAAGATGTAATTAAGCCTATTTTTTTATGGCTCACTGCTCATTGCTGCTTTGTTTAAGCTCCTCGTTTGTGGAAGTTTGATCTGAAGGTTTCATTATAGCCAAATGAATCTAATACGTGGTGTGTTGTAGAAGCACATGGGAAGAACGGGTGGACAAAAACTGTTGCTATATAAATAGATCATGATAAATTAACCAACTTGAAATTAGTATTCTTCCTATCTAGGTAGAGATATGGAAACAAATACTACTTTAACTTTGGGGTTTCTAAGTGTCTAGGTTGTTTTGTTAAATTGAGATTGCTTCTATGGCTAACATTCGGCCTAATTACTGTTAGGTTTTTGGGGTCTTGTTCTTTTTTATATATGAATATCAGATTCTGTCCTTTTAGATTTAAGCATATCAGAGTCTTACTAATTAAAACCTTTGCCTTTGTTAAAGTTTCTTTTAGAATTTTTAGGATTGCATGTTTTAGTATGCTGAAAAATTGAGAGCCTCTGTTACCTTTAAAAAACTTATAGTATTACGGAGAATTAGAATAGAGCCAGCTTTCTCATGTCCTTAGCTGTGTCATCTTTTACTTCCTATCTAGAAGTCATGCCGCAGGGAACATTTCAGGCTTTCTTATTATTGCAGTGGCCTGTATGTTTTGAGCTATCAGAAAGGTACTGTTGGATTTTACTGCAGGCACTTGGGAAGAAGGATGAAGATAGGATGACATTCACTGTTCTTGGCATGTCTTCCCTCACTCTCCTTAATGTAAAATATCTCTTTATATGGATGGTCTCAAAGCTATGTCAACAGTGAATGGCTAGGATTTCATAGAATTTTCTAGGAGGATGTCATGTTTATGGATTTTACGGAAATCTCAGTATGGGGTTTAAGGATAAAGAACAAATGATGATCACTCCTAAAGCTACAATAAAAAGGAAATGGTTCAAGCAAGCTCACCAAACAAGTTTCAAGAAATTGCTTATACTGTTAAAAATACCTGACTGAAGGTAGATGGTGTTATCTTTAACTCAGCAAATGCTCAGTTTTACCTTTTTCTCATACTGTAAGATTTTATAACAGTGACCTATTGCGATTGTTGCCACAGTCCCATTGTTTCAAAGTTTTTGTAACATGTGTTAATTTGATCCATCTCATAATCATGTCTTTGATGTGAGTCTGAATAGAAAATTATGAAGCTCTGCGATGAACTTTGAAAACCACATCTGCATTTGTTCCCATGATTGTAAATTGATTTGGAATGCAGTCCATTCATCATAAGTTCAAAGTGCATCCATTTAAATAAGTTGATAAATACTGCATATGGTATGGAAAGAGAAAATATAATCAATAAGAACTGGTTGGGTGTGTGCTAGCTAGCTTAGCAGAAGAGTCTTTTGACAACATAACAAATCACCAGGGATCAAATCCCGCTGACAATGGGGATGGGAAGCTTAAGGGAAGGCCTGCCCCTGTTATCAAGCCCAAGCTCCAATCGGATCTCCTGATAAACAAAGAAAGGCATTAGTTGGTGCAGTGGAGTCTGGGTGGATATGTATTGACTAGCTATCTAACACTTGCTCAAATAGATACAATAGACTAGTTTGTGAGGGAATAAAGAGTCACTTGAATATACAAGAACACTTGAGCAGAAATGTTAAGGAAGCTAAGACCGAGAAAGAAATGCTTAGTCCTGAAAGTTTCAAAGTAACTCTAGATTGCCTTGTGTTTGTAAATACTTTCTTTTCACTAGATTTGTGTAGCATTTGTAATTTCCTAGAAGTGTGTGTTTTTGCTTCTGGAGTTAAGCTTGCATCAAAATCATTACATAACTTGTGGAGTGCTTAATTTAAGATAATTTGGTTCAGTCTCTGCACCTAATAATGATGTAAGAAACCATTTGCTGTTCAATTCTTAAGTCTGAACATTTATTTATACCTGTGATGAAAGGTTTGATGACCGTGAAACCCTGAAGATCTTCCTGATGCACAATGTATGCCGATGCATTTGAGTTATAATACTGCATATAGATGGTGTTTTTCATTATCAATAGCTCTTTATACAATTATTTTATCACTGCTTTGAAAATGTGCAGATCTCCATAACCGTGATCATGTTCTTTTGAAAAGTGTGCTGGTGATTAACTTAGAAGTAAAAGATAATCATGAGGAGGCGGCTGTAGGAGGTCAGCTCACTTTGGAACTGTGCCAAAAGGTAGAAATCCTATTATGCATCAAATTTACCATCTATTGTTCTGTGCTCTACGTGAATAAACTTTGAATGGATGATTGTTATGTATAGATTGAAGCAGTTGAATCATGGGAGGATTCCATTGATGATATTATCACTGCATTTGAGACAAAGCACCGGAGGAAGCTGGTGTATAGCATCTCCTTCTATTGAAGATACATCACCTACACTAACAAACCGAGTCATCCCTTTTTTCCAAACATTGAGGCTAGCAATGCCTGTGATTAACCACCCTTTTTCTCTGTTTCATATGTAAAATTATTGTCCTAGGTCCTTGGAGTAAAACGGTCTAGATTCACAAACAGAATTCATGGAATTTTAAGCTCAATCTCAATCATTGAGGCTCATTTACAGTTCCAAAAAATTAATGGGGTTTTGTGCTAATATATGATTATCTGAGTAAAGAGGAACTTAGGTCATTTCAGAGTTCATTATCTAGGTGGGCAGGATTGAGATTGATGATTGATTAATAATAAACCGAATCTGAAAGAGTGGACGGCTTTGAGTCTTTAGTTGTGCCAGGATAATTGATCACTGACACATGTTCCTTACATTTCATTCCTTTTTCATTTTTCATTTTTCATTTTTAGAATCATCAGTGGATAATTCTAGATGTCCATGCAACCATTACCTTCTCATTCCCTTGCACCTGAAAAGGTCAAAGTAAAATAATGTTATGCATGAGAGGGGTTGCATTCAAGGTTTTGGAAGGCGGAAACGACTGGAGATGTAGGTGTCTTCTCAGGAAACATCATAGCAGATGGGAATTTATTAGATTTGGACGCCCATGTTCTTTCAGTACTTCAAGAGGTTATAATGATACAGTGGAAATTCTCAACTACATCAGGTCCACCGGCAATGAACAAACCAGTGGCAAGCAATAAGCATTAAGGGACAAGCATGGGACATTTAACTGATAATGATCCAGTGACTTGGGAGCCTTTGATTAAAGGCATTAAACGTTTTCCGTCTCACTTCTACCATGTGTCAAACATTGACAAAATACACTTTGGTCTCCGAACGATATCTGTGCTAGCAGTCGGATCCTTAAGATGGGTATAGGTATGGTCACACATGGCGGAAGTTCAAGGAAAAATGGTATTGATTAGCCACTGAACTATAGATATGGTCACAATGGATCTTTGATGGAAGCTTCGATAGTTTTGTAAAGTTCCTTAAAGGTTTTGATCAAATCTTCTTATCTGATTAAGACACTATAAGATATTGAAACTCTTGTATCTTTAAAATAGAATAAATTATGTTGTTCGAAATTCACATTATATGAAATATTATATCTTTTACCTTCACATATATTTAGAGAAATTTTACATTATCTATATCAGAATCAAAATTTAGATTATTTTTGAAAATGAGGTTAATTAAACACAAATATGCTGTATCTCCAAAAAAAAAAAAATTTACTAAATCATACTTATTTCGTTTTCTTTTTTTTGAATTGGGATTGTAGTAGTATCCCATTCGTAAAGTCATCATAAGAAGCTAGAGGGGTTCGTTCTCTTCCCTTCCCTTTCCCTTCAAAACAACTCACCGGCCAAGCTAAAGATAAAACCAAGCTTTGACGAACATCTGCAGGCCAAACTGGAAAAGCATTGCCAGCTCTTTGACTGTTCATGTCATTGTCAATCATAATATCTGTAACGAATATAATAACAGTTTCCGAAGCAATGTTGGTACCATTTAATAATATTGGATAAGAATATCTCAATATTACTATTCTTTGAAAGAGAGAATTGCTAACTTGATGGCCCAATTTCTTTTCCATTTCTCAAAAATTTGTGTGGCAGAAAATGGAATATCATATATTCACCTTCAGTCAAAATTTTTACTCATCATCTTTCTTAGCAAAGAAAAGCTTTTCACTCTATATAAATCTAGCCCAGCAAATATACTCAAATTTGGGTTAATGACCCAGTTGGTCCCTTGACTATCAGGATTTAGTTTATCAGGTCCCTCTAATATTATTGAACAACACATAATCCCTCCATTGGTGAGATCAGTTACATTGATCAGTAACTAAAACAAAAAAACAAAGGGCGTTATTTAGAACACATCATAACCCACTCTACTGCACCAACAAAACTATAGTAAAAGGTGAGGTCCATTTCTGTCCTGATTTCGACAGTTTTATTATTGCACAGGGGAAGAGAAAACAATGGAGAAGAAAAAGAAGACAGCCCAACTAAATATGACTACTTAATAGATCAGAAGGTAGGAAAATCGTCTCTCATGCATGCTGCTCTCTGATTGCACAAAATTTTAGTGTGGAACTTTGAGATAATCCAAAAGCACAAAAGAGCAAGAAACCAAAAAACAATGTTCAATGCACCCTCGTTAGCCAAATGGTGCAACAAGACATTTCAGTGATATCTGAGTATATTGACATCAAAGAGCTCACAGTCACACCAGATTAGTATATCCAATCCTTAAAAGCGGTTTTCAAGACTGTGTACAATCTCAGATCAACATGAGTTTTGAGAAGGTTCAATGCTCTGTATTCCAGGTTCACCGACTGCAAACAACTATGTTCCTGCAATAGACAAGCTCTGTTATGCATATTTCCAGACTCAGCATGATAACATAACTAGAACTAGAACATGGCACCAAATTACAGAGTCGAAAGCAATTCATGTCTATGTACGAATAATTAAACATGGATACCTCATTCCAATTCCAGTCGTTAGTAATTAGCAGGTCATTTTCAGCTTAAAAAAAAGAGCATTTTACAGCATGCCATATTAAAAGCTAACATTTTCCAACCAAGAAACCATCTACATGTAATTTGGGACAAGATTGTCAATAAGCATGTCATAGTTGTTCATAAGCCATCTAACAATCACCACTCCAGTACCCAAAACAAAACAATCGATCACACATTTTCTGTGAGAAATTCAGGTCAAACCTATCAAGTTGATCGTACAATTTCTCCTCAAGGATTGCAAAAAGTTAAAAAGACCAAGAATGTAGACAGTTTGTTCTATGAAAGTTTTTTACACGGACACTAGATGATATTTCCTAATGCTATGCAAGAAAATGAAACCAACAACTCCAAGATGCATGTGCTTACACAAAGATACTACGCAAAAGAAAGGCACACCATATAGCAAATCCAGATTACTTTGAATCAAGATCTCACTTTTCACTTGTGAAAAGACTTGTATACAAATTCAGCTTCTAGAAAAGCTTGCATTCAAAGGATGTACATGAACAGACAATTTAGTAAAGCAAGATTTTAGCATTCTTTGATTGATGAGAAAAAGAGCTCCTTCTCGTCCAAATTTTTCAAGTTTAGATCAGCTAGCTGGAAACCAAACCTATCTTTTTTCTCATCATGAAGCTATCTTTTCTTCTTTCCACCCTTCCCAGACTTGGCTGTTGAAGCATTTGATGTGGATGCAGGCTCCTGCTTCTTGGTCCTCCCAGGATGTCTAGGTACCAGTTCTGCAACATGGAGCATAAGCTGTTTTCCTGCAATAAAGTCGAAGTTTCAAATCTATTACTCATACATAAGTGACATCAGCAAATTTTGAACTGATTTGTAATTGTCTTTTTCCCTTGTGCTTTATTTTTATGATTGATGTGACAAAAATAGACACCTTTTTTTTTCTTTCTTCTATTTGCCCCCCTTCATTCCTCCGGGTCAATGAAACACAGTGCCATGGCATATCAGGTATGATGAGAGGCAGCTCTCAAATTTCTCAACCAAACTAAAAGGCAACAATTTATTGAACAGTCCAGATCACCAAGTGGAGCACTGGTATTTCATGAAAATGCTGATAACTACTCATTAACATGCAAAAGGTATCAATAAAATCATCATATAAGACAATACCAATGAAAAGGCCAGTTCAGCTTTTAAGTGGCGAATCCCTAATATAAACTAGTCTTATGCAATACTAGACATGTTAACTTAGAACAGATTAATTTTACGTGTCAATATCCCTGCTTGAAAGGTCTAAATGCAGAGTGACAGGAACCAGCTCACATATCAATGATTACTGTCCCTTGGAAATTACGGCAACTGAAATGATAACACCAAGTCACCTACGTGTTATCCGCATTACAAGTAATTGCAAATATTTTACTTTAAGGATTATTAGAGAAGAAAAAATGAAGAGGTCTCTGCAGGATAGGTTGAGGGCCAATGAGTATCATGTTGGAAGCATATATATATATATATAACTGTCCTATACAGGAAGTATAAATAAAAACTTCTTTTTCAAATTCACCAGCATGCATGGGTTGATGGAAGTAGAAGGGAAGTGACAAAATTAAGAGAAAGGAAGTTTGATTTATTGTGGATGTTAAAATGAAAAAAGAAAAGAAGGGGAGTGAGGGGAAAAGGAACTAGGTTAGATTTCCAAGTTCATGTCAATTGTGGGAGGAAATCAGCTAAAATATTTTAAAATATATATTATCATTTAAAAGATGCTGATTCTTCTCTACATTCGCAAGATTTTAGCACTTGAAACTAGACAGAAGGTTTCACACAGTCTCATCAGAGTATCCAACCAAAAAGTTGCTCCACTTAATAATAAATACGAATAGGCATGGCCTGTGAATCAATAACAGCAAAAGACAACACATGATGGCACAGTTCAATACCATGGCAAAGCATTTAACCCAAAATCCCAAGTTATTAGGTGAAGAGGCTCATAAACTATTGAAAACCATACCAAACCTCTTCCATAACAAATATGGAATTACTCAACACTAGCGACTCATGGAAAGATTTTTCTTTGTTAATAAATAAATAACAACAACGATGATGCAGCAAAATTGAATGTAAGATGCGAAAAAGAGTGACACAATCACACTTGATAGTCAATCTACGCATATCTAAGGGGAAAAAAACTCAAAAGATAAAAATAACTAAAGAAAGAGAAGCCAAAAAAATCAGAATTATACAATAAACAGAAACAAGGATAGAGTATGCTTACTGGAAGGAATTGCAGGGTTACATAAACTCCCATCTTCTCTTTTGAGTAATACCCTCACTCTCCCTACTTGCATAAAATCTCGTGGATACGCCTTATCAATCTACAATATCCAAAACGGATAAAAAATCACATACAAACAGCAATCACAAGCTCTAATAAAAAAAATAAAAAAAAATTGTGTGGATTCAAACAAACCTCGATTGCAAAAGGAAGTTTGAGATGGCTACAACAATCACCAATCTCGACACAAGTGGGATTCTCACAGCCCTTTGCTGCACTAATCCGCCTCCCTTCAGCTATTGTTTTCTTTGAGTTAATGTAAACAGGATATAACACTACCCATTTCTTTATATTTGGCACTCCTCCATCCATCATTTTCTATCCTCCTATATTAAAAAAAAATAATAATAAAAAAATCCATTTTTGATAAAAATAAAAAATAAATCAAACAATTCAAGCAAGTAGCCAATGCTGATCCCTATTAAAAATCTGTTAATGATATTTTATACCTCAGAAGTTAAATATCAAAACTTTAACAAACCTAACAAGGAGATAAGGAAAATTGTGAAATGGGGTTTTTAATGTTAAGGCTCTTGTTCATTAGTTTCATCCAATTTCTACAATTAACAAAAACAAATCTTGACAAGAGTGGAATCTCAATGATTTACAGCTAAAAAATAAAACAACTATGTGAATTCTAAAAGCCAAATCAGTTTCAGACAAAAAGGACACTGGCTTTGGTAATTAGAGTTGAAAGAGAAAGAAAGGACTCACGAATGGAAACCCCGGCCAGGCGTTCTGTTGTGTAAGATCTAGCAGTGCTCTTCAGCGTTGAAGGATGATGTGAGAAACGCTTTCTCGTCTTTGGCTTCTACAGTTTTTATTTTATTTCATTTTGCTTTCTTTTTTCCTGTAATTGCAGTTTAGTCCCTCAAGCCAAGAAGTTTGAGGCCAATGTAAGAAATAGCTAAATTACATTATCACCCAAAATTTCACCAACCCTATTTCTTTTTTTTCTCTCACAGGACTATTCGTATTGTTTGAGTAAATTACAAATTAATCTCTCTTATTTTACAAAACAAATTAAATAATCTTTCTACTATTAAAAAATAATTAATTAGTTTTTTTTGTCTTTTTGAAGTTTTTTTTTTTAAATTTATTTGTTTAAGAAATAGGAAGGAACAAAGAAGTAAGTAATATAGGAAGGTTTATAATAAAAAGTGACATTTTTAAAAACAAAATAATATCAAAAAAGTTAAGTATGATCAACATTAATTAAGAGATTAATTAATTAGTTTTTAAAATTAGAGGGAAATCTAATTCGTTCTATAAACTAAGGAATAATTTATAATTTACTTTGTTATAGTCGAGGTGTGTTTTTTAGTAGAAAAAAAAAGTGACAATTAACCTTTTCTTAAAAAAAAAAAGAACATGTTCCTGTTTATATATATATATATATATATATATATATATATATATATATATATATATATATATATATATATATATATATAGATGGCAAGAGGTGCATCAAGTCGGCTTTCTAATCGATTGAGATTAATTTTTTTTTCCTTGAACGATTTTAAAAGTGCATCTCTCGCATTAGTTTGGTGCATTAATAAAAAAATTAATAAGCTCATCTGGATACTAATCCCAAAATAAGTTTTATGATACTTAAGAAATAAATATCAATATTAATTTTATATGAAAGAGAGAGATGAAAAAAAAAAAAACAGAGAGAGAGAGAGATTAAATAGAAATATTTTTATTATTTTTAGTGAATTCAAATGTAATTTTTTTCTCTTATTTTTTTATCTGCATCTCTTCTCAAAATGAACCTGAAAAATAAGTATTAGTAGGCATTCATTGAATATTTTAAAATTTTTCATCATCACGATTGAAATCCGGAAAATCGAAAAAGAAATATACCTCTTTAACAAACAGAGGTCATTCCCTTAAAAAGTCAAAGTTATGCGAAAAAATCATATTTAATAACGAAATGAAACATTTTTATTTGATACCTTTAGGTGTTGTTTGGTAATCAAGAATAAAGTGGTGAAAATGAAAATAAAAGTTTTATTCCTACATTATACTTGTTTGGTTAAAAGGAATGAAGTGAGGATGAGAATGAAGAATGAGATTGGAAACGAAAATTTACATATAACTTTATTCTCATATAAGATGTAGTAATAAAAAAACAAGAAATAGAAATATATATTTTTTAAATAATAATATATTTTTATTTATTTATTATTTATCAACTACTTTTACCATCACCATCACCACTACCCACCACCACCGCAACCATCACGAGTCACTACTACGGCAATCATCATCACCACTACCACCACCACCGTTATAACCACAATCACCATCATCATCTTTATTATTTTTACAATCACTATATTTTAATAAAATTATTTTTATTTGTATAAAAAATCATATATTAAAAAATTTAAATTGCATTCCGATTTCTTATTACTATTCCAAACACGGTATGAAAATACAAATACTATTTTGATTCTTTAATTTTCATTCGATTCCTCGCATTCTTATTCTCATCGCTCTATTCCCGATTATCAAACAACACCTTAATATCTATATCACGTATTTCTTATATATATATATATATATATTAACATTGTTGGGTTCACATAGTTATTAGAATATATTGACTCCTTAGTCAATTGTCGTATTTGAAAATTTATTTACATAAAAATTAGTTGTTTGATATTTTTATTATCTCATCAATAAATTATTAGATACTTCCCAAACTATATCTTCTTTTTACATACACATAAAATCTATAATAAAAATTATCAACGAAAGCCGTTTTAAAAATAAAAGGAAAAATTACAACTCCAAATATAATGAACGCATACACATTTCAGTCCCACCAATCTCAATCTCCCTTTACCTTATTTGGACCCTTAACCAGAAAAGAAATAAAAAAAAACTCATATATTTTTATATAACACTAAAAAAATTTATATCCTCTTAAGTTTCTAATTATATCTTATTTGCTTATAAAAATATTTGAAGTATTCAATTTGTCATTTCAATTATTATTATTATTATTTTTTTTTACTGAAATGCCTTTGATTGAAATAGAAAAAAAAGTTCTAAAAACTTAAAAAATAGAATATATAAATCATGTGATTTTAAGAATTTTTTTGTATTTTAATAAAAAGTATTTCGGTTAAAAAATTTTAATAGTTGAAAATTTTGATTGAAAAGATAAATTGAATATTTTAAAAAAATTTAAAAATAAATAAAATATCATGAAAAATTTAAGAATAAATGAGAGATTTTGAGTATTATATAAAAATAAATGAATATATTTTTTTAAAAAAATTTGTTGAGTAACTAAAACCCAAACGCCGTGTCTCAACTCTCGAACGCAAAGCACTAAGCTCCAATAGAAAGAAAATGAAAGCCCAAGGCACATGGATTAGCCAAGCCAAGCCTAACAAAACCACAAAATCAAATAGAAGACTCAAGGACTGTAATCCAAAGTCCAAACCAGTGCATGGAACATAAGGGGGCAGCTGCTCCTTGATTGTTTCAAAAACATAATAGCCCTTAATAGTTTCAAGAGTTCAGATTTGCTCCTCCCTTTTTTAGACATTGACCCCATAGCTCCTTGGCATATCTGCTACATAATGGTTTCCTGGGATGGTCGTGTATGAAACAACGGTTGAGATGGACTACTTTGTGATTTTTCAATTCAATTGTTGATCTAGTAATTTTATTAAAATAAAATATTATAAAGAACCCTAAAAGATATAGAGTTTTCATTATTTCTATATTATTTGCACATCCACATAATACTATTCATTTGATGGCATTTTTATGATTTTAAAATAATAGTATTTTCATTATTTTAAGTGTTTATTTTGTTCACAATACTATGTTTTTTTTTTTTTTTTTGTAATTTTGAGGTTTTTTTTAAGCATTTTATGCTTAAAGTTTTACTCATGTTATTTTTAGTCCCTCTTTTTTTAACAAATTTTATTTCGATCTATACCTTTATTTGTATTATAATTTCATCCCTCATATATATATATATATATATATATATATATTAAAAAATCTAAGACAAATAATTATCTAAAAAATACTTTTAATATATATATATATATATATATAAAGCTTTTTAGTTAAAAATCCATGGATTTTTGAATTTTCTCATAAGTTTTTAATTAAGAATCCGGATATAGAATAATAAATCATGATATTTTTAGCAAAAACAATTATGAAAAACATAATAAATAATTATTTAAACACAAATTTTTTTTTAAAAAAATATAATTTTACTTTTAATTTGATATATTTTAATAGACCCATTACATAATATATATCATCAAATTAAAATTATTCTTTAAAATAATTTTATATATTCTATCTAACTACAACATAGCATTAATAAAAACTATTTACTCACTAGAGTTATACAATTTTGTATATTTATATCTCAGGAAATAATGTTTCTTCTTTAACCCTCACCTGTGAATTCTAGCTTTGCCCCCATGTGTCAGTATGCATACATGTTGTTCTTTCCTTGGCTCAAAATGTCAATGTTGGGTGGTGAGACACATTAGAAATGGTAATACCGTGGGCTATAGGCTCTTTCTTTTTGTTTTTACCTTTTTATTGTGAATTAGCTAGAGTTTATTTACTGTCTAAGCATGTTCGCTTTCTTGAAGATAATAACCGACCTTTCCACCTTCTCATCATTAGAAAGAAAAAAAATCCAAAACTAATTCATATATTATGTTACTTGTGTTTGTAATACTAATGACGAATCGAATGTAATTTAAAACTTTTAATATTTATTTTTTATATAAATAAAAATAAAAATTAAAAAATAATTTTATCAAACTATAATGGTTGTAAAAATAATAAATGTGATGATAGTAGTTGTCTTGATCTACTGCAGCGAGCGATAGCGATAGTGATTATAGTGGTGATGGTGGTGGCATAAATAATTAATAAACAAATAATAAATAAAATATATTATTATTTTGAAGAAAAAAAATTCATTTTCATTCTTTATTTTTATTCTCACGTTTTAAATGAGAATGAAGTTGTTTATAATTTTCATTCTCATTCTAACTTCATTCTTTTCGACCAAACAATCTACTACATGAGAATAAAACTTTTATTTCTATTTTCATCACTCTATTCCCGATTACAAAACAACATCTAAGAAATTACCAATAAGTTATTAATCCAATTTGTAAGCGAATTAGTTTTCAAATAATTTTTTTTCAATGTATATGGTTCAAATCTTAGAATGACATTTGTTAAGAAAGGTTAATTGAGATTAAATAGAAATATATTTTTTTATCACTTTTGCTGAATTCAAATATGATTTTCTCTCTTATTTTTCACCTGCATTTTTTTCTCATCTCAATTCAAATCTAAAAAATAAAAAATGAAATACACCTTTTTAACTAATAGAGGTCAGTCCTTTAAAGAGTCAAAGTTATGAGAAAAAATCATATTTAATGATGAAATGAAACAATGGTTTAGATGGGCTACTTTGTGATTTTTCAATTCAATTTTTTATCTAATAATTTTATTAAAATTGAATATTAGTTACTAGAGTGATACAATTTTGTATATTTATATCTCATGAAAAAATGCTTTTTCGTTAACCCTCACCCGTGAATTCTAGCTTTGCCCCCATGTGTCAGTATGCAATCTCTCTTACATGTTGCTCTTTCCCTGGCTCAAAGTGTCAATTCTTGGTGGTGTGACATATTAGAAATGGTAATACCGTGGGCCATAGCCTCTTTCTTTTTGTTTCTACCTTTTTATTAGGAATTAGCTAGGGTTTGTTTACTGTCTAAGCATGCTCGCTTTCCTGAATATAATAACCCACCTTTCTACCTTCTCATTATGAGAAAGAAAGAAAAATCCAAAACTAACTCAAATATTATGTTACTTTTTTAATTCTTCTTAATATATTGAAAATCGCATTAATTAGCCTTTGGATCAAACAGGAAATAATAATTGTGCTCTTATAATTTCTTCTATTTCTAATATTCAAGCACAATTTTGTAGCAAAAATTGACTCTCCTTTTTCTTTTTCTTAAAAATGGTGCTTATACCTAGCTTATTTTACGTTTTAAAAGTATTAAGAAATTACCAACCAAGTTATTAATCCAACAATAAACGAGCTAGTTTTTAAATAATTTTTTCTTCAATATGTAAAGTTCAAATATTAAAATCGTACTTGTTAGAAAAAGGTTAAACTTTATCGCTTCCACTTCAAAATCCTGAAGTCATATTTTTGTTGGAAGTTATTAAATCTTGTCACTTTCCGCTCAAAACATTTTTAATGTGAGATATAAATACTTTAAGGAAAAAAATATATTAAGAAATCAAAAAGTTTACATAGGAGTTAAACCTTGTGACTCTCATTTCAAACATGATTAATCACATCACCCGAAGATGAGAATACTTAAAAGAGAAAAAAATTACTAAGAAATCAAAAAGTTTACATAAGAGTAAAACTTTGTCATTTTCATTTCGAATATAATCTAAAGTAGGATAGGAATACATAGAGGAAAAAAAAATACTAAGAAATAAGAAAGTTTATATAAGAGTTAAATCTTATTGTTTTTATTTTGAACATGATTGATTTTATTTTTAAATATGAAATGGAGATACCTAAAAACAACACAAATTTTACATAAACCAATTATAAACTATCTTAATTTATTGCCAGAACTGCCGGTTATGATAATAAATTAAGTCCCACTGCCCCCCATCCATTTGAAATGTTTTAAATATCTACAAAAACTGATGCAAGTAAAAAAAATTGCTTATTAATTAACGAACTCATGAATTCAGCTAGCAACAATGTTGGTGTACGAAACAGTATATGAAAACGTTGTCAGTAACAACGGAAAACAGCTAGCAAAATTCTTAAAACTCAACTTTGTGCTCAATTTTTTTAGTTGAAAAAGAAAAGAGCAGCACGTACCAAGCTAGCTAGTTCCAGTTTTATTAAAGAGTTTTATTTAGATTTCAATAGATTAATTCTGTTACTAATTTTAAATATGTGAGTTAAAAAAAAAATGATAGTTCCAACCTTGCCAGCCCAGATGATGGTCATTAGATTGAGCCATCTGCAGCTCTTGATTTGTTACTTCAAGCATCTCTTCAAGTACCGACAACCTAACTGAGCTAACAACCAAAGTTCAATTCTTCTCAAATGTTTGTTTTAATTCTACAAAACTCACCAAACTTAATCATAATCCAACCACGACAATACCAGCCAATGAATATCGCAACCACTTCTAACTCATCATTAGTTGTTCTCATTACGATTTCTTCGATCTAATTACGAAATAAATTATTCTATATGTTTTCCTCACACTATTACACCCACCGGTTACTGTATATATGCAAACTAAGAATTTTATATATGGTACCTCATTTGTATATATGACCTTTTTGGATTAATTAAATACACTAGATTTTCGTAATCATTGTGTAAAAAGGTTTTAAAAAATGATTAACATTTAACGGTAGAACCTATAATGAAAAATTTTTATATTATTCGGTGAAGTGACTACCAATACTTATTCTATAACATAGAGAGATAAAAAAAAAAAAAAGAGAAAAAGAGAGAGACAATAAGAAAGATTATAATGAAAATATTTTTATCAATTTTGATGGGTTTGAATATGATTCTTTTTTTTAAATAAACCCATAAAATAGCTATTATAATTATACAATAATTATTCCTAAAGTATTTTAAAATTTCTCCCTATAATGTCGATTCAACTCTTCAATTATCAAACGATTTCGATACCAAAATTGGATATATTTGAACAATTCAATTGGATGAAAAAATAGAAATAAATTAAAAAAAAAACCAAATCCGACATGGATGTACTTGTACAACACATACTCATAACAAATAACTAATTTAGACCTTCATATCGTAACACTCTAGCCTATAAACTTGACCTAAGATGGCCCAAAAATTGGGCACTGCTTTGTTTTTCTTATCAATAATTGCGTGCTACTTCGTGAAATGGTAGCAAAATCTACGAGAATATTTTCTCAACTTTATTGTCATACAGTTGCATACAAGAAAAGGAAAAAAAAAAAATCTTCGTAAGCAAATTATTGTTAGATTATGGAATATGTTTCTGGCTAACATATATATAAGAGAGAGATCATATACATCATGCAAAGATTTTGAGATTGCAATTATTTTCGGTACACATATCCTTTCAAATCTGCTTGATAATGATTCCTTCATACCTTGCATTAATTAATGCAGCATGAATACACGTATTGATGTATATACTCTTTGGAAATACGTAGGTTTAGTATTTATTAATTTGCGTTTTCTCTTCCAAACAGAAAGTAACTATATGTATATAGATGATAGACTAGAACAAGCTATAAAGAAAAGAGTAAGTATATCTATATGTTTATTTTAAGGAGTTAGGTGACCCGCAGGATGGAATCGTATCAAAGAATTAGCTTGTTACCATGTCCAATCATCAGTTTGGTGGTGTCCTTAAGTGACCTCTGCCATGCCTAGCCATGTGCTCTTCTTCATAAACAAAAATGGGAAACATTTGTTTAAACCATAACAAAACAAATGGAAAAGGGAATCACTTAGAGTGACTTGTCTGTGCTTAACAGTTTTGTCCATTTTCCAAGTTTTTCCATTTCTAGCTAGAACGTGTCTCGTTTCTGCACCACAAATCCTTATGTTGCACAAACAATCCATGCACCTTCCTGCCTACCTATGAGTGAAGTGTGTGATTTGAGACAAGTTACCAACAACGGACATGGACCCTTCCTCTCTTTTCAGCTACCATCATGCCTGATAAATTGGCTCGTTTTTTGAGAGACCCCATCAACCTCAAATCAACTTCTGCCTCCCTCTGTTTATAACCCCTACATATTTGATCACTTCATGTTAAAGAAATAGCTAGGCAGTATTTTTCCATTTTAGCTAGCCTCTTTCTCTCCTTTTGTCTCTCTATCTCTCATTGTGTCTGATGGGGAATGCAGCATCTTGTGCTCCATCAATCATCTCAAATGGGGTAGTGAAGGTCTTGTTCTCTGATAATGGCAACTTGCGAGTCTACACAAAGCCAATTAGAGCAGCAGAGCTAATGCTAGAGAACCCTGGACAATTTGTTTGTGACTCAACAAGTCTAAAAGTTGGCCATAGAATTCATGGTCTATCAGCTGATGATGAGCTAGAGAGGCGCCAACTCTACTTTGTTTTGCCAATGGAGCTTCTCTACTCAGTGCTAACGCATGAGGAAATGAGCTATCTCACTTACAAGGCTACCAAAGCGTTGAAGTATAACAATTTTGGCAAGATTTTTCCAGTCCTTAGTGAGTTCTGCATTTTCCCTTCAGAAGGAAAAACAATGGATGGTATGGCCACAGAGCCACAGCAGATGGAGAGGTATTCCAAGCAAAGATCATGGAAGCCTGCCTTGGAAACCATTGTTGAAACTCCTTGTAGGCGGCCTTGATCAGCATATTTGGTTTTTCTTTTTTGGATTTCCTTCTTTTGTTCTTTCTTTCTTTTTCCTTTTTCTTTTTTGGATTTTTTTTTCCTGACATTTTGATTAGATTATTAGCAATATGTGCCTTGTCAATTTCATTAAGTGTAAGTTCTGCAGCTGTTAATATTCCAAAATAGAGAAGATTGTACTAGAATTACAACAACTATGGTGAAATTTAAATGATATCGTTGTGCTATATATACCTAACCTCATTAATTGAGCTCGCTAATTTTCAAGATGTGACTTAATTACTGATTACATCAAAGAAAGGAGCCTACAAGAGACAATCCAGACACAAATGGACAGACTTTTAATTGGAGAGAGCGAGTCATTCGAGACCCAAATGGACAGACTTTTAATCGGAGAGAAATTGAAGTTGGTCGTTACAAATTGTCACACTCTGGTTTTGATCTCAAATTATGAAGACAAATGGTTATTGAAGTTTTCTCAAATCAGCCCAATGTAGTCCTTTTGACAACTAGACATGATTTTCTCAATTTATTAGCTGTACCAAGAGTCAGGTTGTAGCCAAATTTAAACTTTCAATTGTTTTATATAAAGAGAAATTTTATATAGTAAGAAACAATATTTACTCCGCAGAAGATAGATAGACACAACGAAAATAGAGAAATAAGAGAGGGAGAAAAAAATAACAATTTTAAATCAAGGTAGAAATATTTTTATCATTTTCATGAATCTAAACGTGATTATCTTTTTTTTTTTCTTTGAAAATATATATTTGGAGTAACTATTATATATATATATATATATATATATATATATAGAGTTTCTCTAATAACGATAATAATTACAACAACGAGCTTCATCTAATAGAAACATCAACTAGAGAAATTATTAGAGTTTAATTAATTAAGCCAGGATTTGGTTTGGTTTTGAGAGGCAAGTGTTGTATTTATATTTGGATAAATTACATTAAGCTCCCTTAGGTATTGTGAATTACACAGAATACGTAAAAATAAAATGAATTTTTGACAAAAATCTTTTTAATATTTAACAAAATATTATAAAAATCCTTTTTTTTTTTTTAACCTAAACCATTAGTATTTTTAAAACCATCCATTTACAATGATGAAATTTTTAAACGTGAAGAATATTTTGGATGCAAAAGAAGTTTTTTTTATAATATCTTCAAATGTTTGAATGGTTTTATCATTTCATAAAAACCTCAAATGCACCATAGATATTTAAAGAGAACATTGTGGATTCAATGTTTAATGCAAATTCAATCGTTCTCTTTTCCTTTCCTAACTAATAGAAAATCATGGAAATTGGTCGCTTGCAATATGTTTCGATTCTTCTTTAACACTATGCTTATTAAGAGAGATTGAGGGAGGGAATGATGGATAAGAGGGGAGGGATAGGTACGGATGGATTGGGCGTATCCTTTATTTGGTAAGAAGGATAAATATATAAGGAAGGATTGGACGGATTACCTTTTATCGTTCCATTCCTTTATAATTTTCAATGTTTTCAATTTGAATGTATCAACTCTTTTTCTTCTATTCTATTTTTGATCAAACAAAAAGTCTAAACTAAGATGAATTCCATACATCTTTAGTGGGTTTTGTGTTGCATATATATACGAGGATACAATGGTATTTTGGAACTAATTACACTTATCATATCTAATCATATCAAAATGTTTGAATTTAAAAGCTAGAATCATAATTACAAATGTGTCTTATCACCCTCCTTTAAGTTGAGTAGAGGAGCACCGAATGGTCAACTTGTCATGAAGAAATTGAAATCATTGTTTGCATAAAGCTTTTGTCAAACAATCGAGAATTTGATGTTTTGTAAAAATATATCGGACTATTAACTCACTAGTACTAATGCGTTTATGAATGAAGTGGAAATCAATTTTCAAATATTTAGACCAAGAGTGAAATAAAAGATTACGAGTAAGGTATGTGGCGCTAAAATTGTCCACTACAAGATGGGAGTAATTGAGAATGACAAATGTAACTCATGGTGAAATGATTAAAACCAAAATACCTTAGAAGCAACTAAAAATAAAGTCCGATATTCGATGTTAGTAGATGATTTATACATCATGAGTTGTTTACGAGAACACCAACAAATGAGATTGACATCAAGAAAAATGGCATAACCTATGGTTTATTTGTAATCATCAACACTACTCGCCCAATCAACATTAATATAGGCAAATATATGCATAATAGAAGAAGATCGAATTAATAGACTATAAGTTCTAGTAGCGGTCGGATAATGCAAAATACATTACCTACCAATGATCAATTGTAGGAGAGTGCATAAATTGGGCTACTTTATTGATCATATAAGAAACATCTAGATGAGTCAAAGTCAAATATTGAAAACTCCCCACATTGTTATGGTATATGGATGGATCCAAAAATGACTTACTCCGTAAACATAGTAAGTCTAAATTTGGGACATACATGAGTGGCAATAAAGTTTCTAGCATGAATTTTGAAGCGAAGTAGAATATCATCAACATATTTGGATTGAGTGATAAGAAGGCCTTTAGCAGTCCATGCTTCCTCAATTCCAAGGAAATAATATAACCGACCAGTGCTTTGAGAGAAAAATGATGCTAGAGAGCTTTAACGAGTAGAAGCTAAAAAGGATGAAGAGCTCCCAAGTAAGCATAATTTTATCAAAATAAACAAAGCAATAGGCATGAGTATCATCTTGCTGATAGGAAAAAAAGATGAATCGGCCATAGAACCAATAAAACTAAGACTAGCTAAGGCATTAGACATACATCAAAACCAAAATCGAGTGCTTGCTTTAGGCCATAAAGACTCTTCTTTAACTAACTTACATGATTAGATTTGGTTGGATCAATAACTCCCGAGGGTAAGTCATAAAAGCTCGCTCATCAAGAATACCATGAAGGAAAGTATTAAAAACATTAAGTTGTTTAACTTCTCATTGTTTTTAAATTATAAGTGAAAAAATAAGTATGATAGTTACTAATTTGAAAACTGGATAAAAATTCTCAATATAATCAAGGCTATGATGCTAATAAAAATGCTTTATAGCAAGCTAAGCCTTGTACTATTCAATACCACCATCGACCCATTGTTTAATGCGAAACACCCATTTATAATCTAGTAGATTTTGTGATGAAGTGGCTAGTATCAAGTCCCAAGTATCATTAGCTAGCAGTGTATTAATCTCCTTTATCATGGCTTGACGTCAATAAAAATCTTTTCCTACTTGTGAGTAAGATTGAGGATCCAAAATAAGACTAGAAGAGGCAACAAAAGATTTTGGCTTCAAATTACTTATTTTGGGTGGAGTGACCATCCGGTAATGCCCATCGGATGGTTGGACTAGAGAAGTTGCAATTTATGAATTTTCTTTAAGGAGAACTAAAGAATACATAGGTATAGTAGAGGCCGAGTAGCAGTAGTGGTAGGCCGTATGGCTATAGGAAGACTCCCATTATGTTCTTGGGCCAAAGATGCAAGCATCAATGGATGAATGGGTTGGATTAAGAATAAGAGGTAACCTAGTTAGTGGGTTAGCAATTTGTATAATAAGAGAGGCTAGTCCGTGGATAGGATAATAGGTTGGGCACGCATATGAGAATAGACGAGTAAAGAGTCAATGTTAGTGGCACGGGCCTTTATAAGAGAAGAAACTAGCCTACAATACATGGGAGTGGCCTTAGCCCACGTAAGAGAAAGAGCATACCGAGAGTGTGTGGGTTGGGTTAGAGGAGAAACAGATCACATGATAGTAAGAGAGTTTATAAATGTTTGTTGGACCATGGTTTAAGCTTAAGAAGGTTAGCTCATAAAATCCAACATAAAATTGACTTCGAACCCAAAAGTAGAATTATGTAGCAAAGACCTTGTGGATAGTGAAGACGAACCTAGGTAAGACGAAGTCCAACATTAGTGCTATAATAAAGTAGAAAAAAGAATTTGGCAATGAGTGTACCATGAGGTCGGTTTGTGAGGATCGTGAGGATGACTGGCGAAACTTCTCTTAGCAAAAAGAAACTACTATTTAGAAAACTTCATATGACGTGAGATAAAAAATTTATTAGTAGTAATGTCTAAACGAAGCAATCCTTATGAATTTTGGTAAAGCCCAAAAAGACATATCGCCTTGAATAAAGGTCTAATTTTTGTGCGAGTATAAGCCTTCAACCGGGGATAGCGAGGCATAACCAAAAAATTTAAACGAGGCATAATCAATAGATCGTTGAAATAAAATTTCATAAGAAATTACATGAGATAAAATTGGTGTAGGAAGCCTTTTGATAATATAAACCGCTACTTCAAAGGTATATGTCTAAGTATCGCAGACGAACATGTGTATGGTTCAACAGAGACAAACCAATTTCAACCACATAGCGATGTTTGTATTCGACACATCCATTTTGATCGATAGTATGAGGATATGAGCTTCTTTGTGAAATACCATTATTGGACGGATATCGTGTGAAAGCTCGATATTCACCACCCTAATCTACCCGAAATGATTTAATTAAGCACATAAATTTTTTTTGCTACATGTTAAAACTTTATGAAGATACTCAACACTCGAATTGTATTTAATAAAATAAATCCAAGTATATTTACGAAATGGTTAAAAAATAAAACATAATATCTAGCACCAACAACAAAAGCAATAGGAGACGAGCCCTAAATATCCGAACAAATTAATTCAAAAGGTGCCTTTATTTGAAAATAAGATTGAACATAAGATAATCTAATACTTTTACTAATACTACAAGCATGATAAAGCAGAATAAAATCCTTATTAAAAAATGTAATATTATTGCTATGAAGAACTTGATGAACGAATCGAAGAGAGGCATAACCTCGTCATACATGCCAACATGGCAAAGAGACATATAAAGCATGAACAACAATAGGAGATAGAAGAACTCTAATAGGTCGATCAAAGAATGGAAAAACATATAAACCCTAATTATTCTACTTAGT